CGGACGCGCATGGGAGACGGGATGGAACTGGAAGGAGGGATGTGAAGAGGAGGGAGGGCATCCGAGGCCCCCCTCCCCGCCCCTCGGCCTGGAAGGGAGCTCCAGGCAGCCGCACGCCGGGCACCTCGGTTTTCGGGACGACTTCTTGCCGGGGTTTAGCGCGCTCGCTAGCATCACGCCTTCGGTGCGTCCTTTTATCTACACCTCACATAAAGGATCTTCTTGTGGCAAGGACCGAGCGAGGGTGGGAGAGAGAGTGTGGGTCTCAGAGCGCCCAGTAGGGAGAAACTGTGGTTCTGGGAAGGTATGTTTTGGCCTCTTGAAATGTGCAAGAATTCCGCGGGCCCAGGCTTTCTTTGTGTGGCGGGCAGCGCCAAGGGCTTTGTGCTTCGCAGGGAGAAAATGGCGAGTCCTATTGTGTTTAGGCCATTTTCTTCCGGTACAGGGATTTTCCCAAGTTCTAAATACTTCTTCAGAAAGTATCCTACTCGTGCCTAGGAAAGTGTGAATTGCTGAGGCTCGGACCCGTGGCCTGGCGTGGGCACCGATCTCAGTTTAAAACTAAGGGCCTGTTTTCTTGCCGTTGTGGTCCTTGTATCGAAGCACAGATCGTGCGGTGCGGTTTGTGCGGATCAGTATTCTCCAAAGATCAGCAGCGGCTCTCAGGGTTTCGGAAAGTGTGTGTGTGTGTGTGTGTGTGTGTGTGTGTGTGTGTGTGTGTGTGTGTGATAGCTATCTCTATATAGAGATGTAAATATATACAGAGAAAGATATTTGAGAAAGCTATTGTTTGACTTTTTTCTTAATTTGTTTTTTGTAAATTTTCCACACTTGTTAAACCATATGCAAAAGTGGACAATGATGTCTATACAAGGATGTCTGTGTTGCTTCTTTGAAAACAACAACAAAAAAGAAAGTATCTCAGGTTGAAAAATATTATTTCCTATTTACTACAATTCTTTGGACACTTAAATGAGTGGTGATTTTGTAAGCTCGAAGATAATGAAATGCAAATTTTCTCCATCTGCTTCCTGTACTCTCAATTTAGTGGCAAATATTTTTAAAAATGAGAACAATTGGAATGGGAGAGAGAGCCTAAAGCCTATAGGATGCCCCCACCCCTTTGACATCATCTTACAATGCTAGGAAGTCAAATTCATGCAGTAGCATTGTGACTTTCATTTTTCAAAAGGCACCACTGGCATTTCCCTTCATGTGGATCAAGACCATGGACAGCGAACTAATATTCAGTCACTGAGCAAAAAGGACTCTAGTACAATTCTGTAAGACCAAGATGGAAGTTTACATTCAAAATATGTTGGGAGTCAAAAACAATCTTGCTTATTTTAAAGAGGCATTAGATCCTTAAAACATGGCATTTAAAACTTATTCTACAAAGTTTTCAAGAAACAATGTTTATATGTTCAGTTTTTACCCTGTCTTAAAAAGTACCTGTTCTTTATCCAATTAAAATTAGATGAAGTCTACCTTTTGTTACTGGTAAATAACAAATTTAAATCCATCAGTTTTAGATGGGAGCTGTTTCTTATAAGGCCTTGAAGCACAGTGGGGACAGAGAAATGTTACTATTTTAGGCTGGCATTTGCTGAATGACACCAGAGCAAATTAAATAGATTTTTATCAGCGACTGAATTTCTAAATGCATAGAATTGGAAAAATTAAATGCCACTTTGATAGACAGGAATAATATATGAATGAAGATATAATGCAGCTACTCCAGTTTGGGCATTGTAGTCTATAAATGACAGTGCAGTGTTGTGAGCAAACATTTTTTTCCAAGAAAGTCAACGATTTTTTAAAATATATACTGATTAGATTTGGGGCACAGGCTTGCTTTAGTGTGACTCTGTGCCAGAGTTAAATTTATTTTGTTCTGTTCATCGTTCGAATTGTTTTAAATATTTTTCACAAAGCTGAAATTCATTTAAAATCATTTCATTTGTGGATTACATAACTCATCCCAAACTGCTCATTTAAATTTCCAGCTTCATGTATCTTTTGGCCTATTTCATAACCTGACTTAAGTGTGACTTGTAAAGTCCTGAAAAATTATATAAAGTGAAGATAATACACAAGTCAGGAGAAGTGAAGTAGTCTATAATTGCATTTAAGTTAAAACCACATTCATTTAAAAGGACAGTGAAGTTTAGCAAGACATTAATTCTTGATCTTTATTCATCAGATTTGTCTCTAAAATAAGGCTTTAATTATTTGAATGTGCAGGTTCCTAAAATTAGATACTAGATATATTTTGGACACACACATCTTTTAAAACATATTATTTATTATCAGTAGTAGTACTATTTTATGACACCGTCTTCAAAGTACTTGGGGGGAAAAAATACAATGGCATTTTGCGGTGTCCTGATCAGGACCATGGTGAGGTCCCGGTGGTGCACCAGTGGTGGTGGCCCAGGGCTTGGTTGGGGCGCAGAGTTAGGTTGGAGAAGAGTTATTGTTTAGAAAGACACATTCGTCCGGGTTGGCATTCGTGATAAGATTAAGCATAAACCCAAAGCTTGGCCTGGGGGAAAGGCTGGCAGCCGGGTTGAGAAGAGGAGACGCAGATAAGCTCTGCTTCTGCTGCTTGCGCACATAATTAAGAGGCGGTCCCTCCTCTGGAGCGTGGGCTCTGTCCGGCCTAAGGTGCTTATTTTGCTGATACTTGGCCAACCGAGTGTGAGTGAACAAGAGCCCGAGAGCTTATATGCGGGGATCTAGACGGGGTGTCGAGAGGGTTGTCGGCTCCTGTCTCCATTTTAAGGAGAGGCAACCGAGAATGGTGACTTTAGCTTGCTTTGGGCAAGTCTGAGCACTGACAGGAGGACCGTGAGGGAAGAGCTGGCGAGGCTGGAAGCAAGACGTCTCCGGGAGCTGTCTTTGGGGCACTGTGTTGGCGCCAGCGGGGGTGGGCACTGTAGGCAAAGGCAGGGCGCTTGCCCTTTGCTGTACCCAGGCGCTGCAATTGGGGGCTGCGCGCCTTCTGCGGCTCTTTGGTTTCAAGGACACAGCGAGCTGCTCAGGACTTTGGGAGCCAACATCTGTCTGACTGGTGACGTCAGCAGCCCGTGTAATCCTCTTGTGCTGAAGGCAGATGCCTTATTTGTTTGGCTGGAGCGAGCCATTAATCCCTAATTCTGGATCAGCAAGCGAGGGGGAAAGACCGGACCGCTCCGACCCACCCCCTCCCCACCCCCACCTCCCACCTTAAAGCACCTTATACCACGGAAGCCTCGCAGCCTCCTCTTTCCTCCGCGAAAGCACTGAGCAGCGATTGAAAACGTTTTGGTCCTCTGCAGGTTTGAGCAGGGCTGGCAGGGCTTTCTCCTTCGGATTTCTAGGGCTATGGGTATATGTAATTCTTTCTCTCATCGATCGTTTCGATTTTCTTGCCAGTCTTGCAGTTTGCAGGGTCCTTAGCCAAGAGGGGTGGGGATTGGAGAGTGTGGGTCTGGCGTGTAGTCTGCGGGAGGGGGTGACGCTGGGGAAAGGGGGTGCGGGATGCGGGAACGGCTGGAACTGGACGAAGCACCGTGTGCGGACGCGGCTTCACGGGTCCAGCTCCCGAAGTCGCTTCCCGGAGGCGGCGGTGCCCACGGCGCTTGGCCCCCTCTCCGCGATGCCCGCAGTCCGGACTTGCGCTCACAGCCACCGCGCCACCCCCCGCCGCAGGGTCCCCTCTGCGCCCGGCTGAAGCCTGGGGACGGAGGTCGCGACCAGCCGACCGGGCTCCTGTCCTCTCGTCACCTTGTCTCCCTCGCGTGCTCCCTCCCGCCTCGAGTCCCTTCTCCCAGCCCCCCCTCGCGTCTTTCTCTCTAACACTGCGCTTTGGTTCTGTTTTTCAGGGGTGCGTTCTGGGGTCCCTGCGCAAGACCCGCTCTCTCTTCCTCGGACGTGGAGCGGGAGCGGGCCCTTCCCTCGGGCCGACCGCGCCGTAGGGGACGCCGAGAAAAGAGTCGCCGCGCCGCTGCCTCCTGCCCGCTGCGCAGAGGGCTCCGCGCGTAGAGGTCAACTCTTCCCTTACCCCTTCCTCTCTCCTGCTCGCCCTCCCTCCGCCTGGCCCGGGCGCTCCAGCCTCCTGACTCCTGCCGCAGTCTGAGGAGCGCGCGTCCGCTGCGCTGCCCGGAAAGCCGAAGCCCGTCTCCGGGCCCAGACCCGAGGTCCGCGCGCCCCCGCAGTGGGGAAGCCTTAGCGAGCAGCTTTTTCTCTCCGCAGCAAAACCATAGCCAGACCAGATGGGCCGCTCAGCTCTCCCGGGACTAGACAGGTGCGGTTGAGTTAATTTTTCCGCATTACAAAGAAAGATGACCCAGCCCGCCCTTGGACTCTCATCTTTTCCCAAAATCTCCCAAGCAAAACCGCGGTAACGTTATCAGAGGACGCAGAGCCCAGGCATATCGGAGTGTTTCTCTTACACGTACACACGCATGTGTGTCTTCCCTTTGATATGCTAGATTTCCTCCCCGACAGCAGGACATAACTGGCAACGATTTCTGCAGCAGAACACGCCATGGCACTGTCCTTAAAAGCCTGCCATTCCTTGCAAGTGCCTTAGAAGGGATCCAGGGCAAACCAAGTGGGTTAATTGCCTTCGGTGAAACAACACGATCACGAAATTAGATCTGCACCAGAGGGGCAATTAGCTTGGATCCACGCCGCCATTTGAAAACTAGATTTATCGGCGTATGTATGTCTTTGGGTGTCTGCTGTAAATGGCATGCAGATATATGCATAGGCAGACGCAGACACATGTATCGTCTACACTTTCACCGAACAGGCTAATTAATAGCGGCTCTGGCAGATGTGGCAGCAGGCGAGCCGAGACGAGAGCTGGGCTTATGAGTTACGACTGTGGGAGTCGGGACTCAGACCTGGGAGAGCGGGGCGGGCAGCGGGAGAAGTGTGGTCGTCGCAGTAGGTCTGTTCCTTTCCGGATCACGATGAGAGACTCTGCTCTCCGTGTTCACAGCGGACCTTGATTTAATGTCATACAATTAAGGCACGCGGTGAATGCCAAGAGCGGAGCCTACGGCTGCATTGAAGGACACCCGAACGTCTCAGGGTCAGAAAGGGCGAAAGGCGATTGCAGGGGATTTGGGGGTGGTAGACTGAACCTATTCCTTGCCGCGTCAGCCCCCTCAAATTGACTCCAGAACCAACCTAATGTTCGAAAAGCAAAAGGCTCAGAAATCCGCAAGCAAATCCTCGAGGAGGGTTTTGGGGGAGCGTCATTGACAGCTGTCAGGAGGGCAGTAGTTCCCAACAGTGCAAATATTCCAGAGAGTTGCGGTGTTTAGAAAGCACCGGTTTTTTTCAAGAGCAGGTAGTGTGATGGTCTGCAATCTTGAACCAAGCTGAGAAAACAAAACAGAAGAGAGAGACAGAGGGAGGAGTATAAGGTTAAATGGTGTCCTGACCACATTATGCAAGAAACCTCAAATGAACGGTTCAACCTTTGCGGGAAGACGAGAACAACACCCTCCCCTCATCTCTCCTTAACGTCCGTCTTCCTTTCTCTTTCCAATCTCAAGGCATCCTTGCTGGCTTTAAAATGCCAAGATAACGTTCTTATTTTGACACTGTCGCAAAGGCCAAATCGGTCAAAGGAGTCAGATAAGAGGAAAGGACCAGGTCAGAAAACTTTAGAGGGACTCGGCAAATTAATTTGTTTGGAAGCCATTGAGGTAGACTCTGTTAAGGCAGTAGTTCCGCACCACGACTTTGGAGGGGGGAAAAAAACCCACCCAGGCTAAGAAAGCGAGCCTTGATAGATGTCTTTGTTCTGCCTTGGCCTGCAGGGGCAGGGAACAAAGGAGAGGAGATAAGAGGATGCACCAAAGTGGCCGCGCCCTCCGCGCCCGGCGCTGTCCGTGGTGCTGACCGAGGCCCTCGCCTCTCTAAGCTAGAAAAGCAATAGGACCGTCCCACCCTCTCTCAAAAGAATAATAGGATTTTTAGGCAATTTGCAAAACAAATTTTAAAAGGCGTGCAGCCACACACTCAACCAAACAATATTTTACTGAAATAGTTCACTCCAGCTGTCGCCACACTCGTCTGGCACTTTTCGGTCTTCTCGTAGGTATGCACACATACAGTCAGTGTATGCACACTCGAAAGCTGTTTCAGCTTATTTAGGCTGAAACTCGAATTTAAGCAGTGAGGAGGATTGCAAGAAGCAGATTAAGGAGGATTGAGGCATTATTATTATTATTATTCCTTTTCTAAGTCACCTTTCTGAAAACATAGACACGTAAGGTCCTGCGGATCTTAACAGTGCCACTGTGGTTACCCAAGGGACTCGCGACGGACTCAAGTGTGGGCCACGAGACTTAATCAGGAAGGGATGGGATGGGAACCGACCAGGTGAGATAAGGCAGGAGCCCACGCAGCCGGCCACCTTGGGTCGGGCTGGTAGCTGGGCAGTCTTCGCAGGCGGGTCCAGAGAACTGAGCTCTGCAGACCGCTCGGGTGCGCTGGAGCCTGCTCCTCGCATCCCTGCCGGCGGGAGGCACTGGAGGGCCAAGAGGCCTGAAAGCCGCACTGCGGAAAAACCGGCCACAGCACCATCCTCCTGCGGACGGAAAGAGGCAGGGTGGTTGGCTAAATACTATGCAGTGAAAATTCACTTTAGGAGTGGAGGGTCAGATGGGTCAGTATTGATATGTTCAAAGCATGTTTACATTTCTCAGTGCATTTCATCCTCTTAATCTAGATATTGAGAACATTAAATGTAAACAATAAAAATCTAAATCCCGTTAACTAATGAAGCAAAGTGGAAAGGAAGAGGGAGAAACAGGAGATCAATCAATTCGTGTCCCGCCTGAGCTCTCAAAAGAAATTGTTATGCATTTGCCTGCGTTTGTGTATAAATTCGCAAACATAAACGTTGTTAAAATTAACACCAGATTCCATATTTCAGAATGGACAATAAAGGCAGCAGCATCAATTTTTATCCAGATACAGAAGTGGACTATACATTGACAATTGTCTTGAAATGATGTTTTTATTAGACTCTTTTTAAAAAAATCTGATGAAGATGTATCAGATGATTCACGAAATAAAGTGGCAAGTCACAATATCCTCAAAGGGTTAACTCCTCGTCCTTTCCCTCAGGGAAAATTTTATTTTGTCCTCTGAATGTAGAACTCTGCAGATAGGTCTTATGCATCCATTGATTACTTTGGTTTATATTTAATTTCATGCAATTTGGGAACAGATAGGCAAAAATTCACTGGAAAACAGGGGCTACTCGAATCACAAAAGGAAAGGGTAGGGATTATTTCTGTGGTGCGCATTAAAAGCAGTCACTGGAAACTGAAATGGGTTTAAACCATTGCACTTTATCACCGAGGCCTTGATTTTCTTCCGAAATTCATCCAGTTGCGCTGATCTTCTGCGTCCACATCCCCTTGCGTAAATCACAAAGCAACAAGGGCGCAAAGCTACACAACCGTTCTGCCCGAGTTCTGTTAGAATTCATATTACCTAATAGGAACACACCTAATCCTCCTCATCCTAATCCTACCTGTTTAGAACAGACTAAACTCGTCCCTCATCAAGCTTAGTCCGTTTAAAAATTACTTTCTAAATAGAAATGAAATACCTGGTATGAAAGAGAGAGGGCAAAATACTGCTTAAATAAGGGAACGCAATTTAGTAATTCGGTTGCCGAGATTAAATGGAGTAGTTATTGATTCGCAATGCCTCTAGATTGTTAAGTCTATTTATTTTTTATTTCTTTCGAAAATAATCACCGAGTTTAATATCCATTACACATTTCCCTGCTATGAAATTCTATGAGCAGCAGTTTTGCCATAAAACAACCCAGACTTCGCAATTGGAGAACTTCAACGCGGCCCGCCGTGAGAGTCCATTGACAATCACAACTTTCATCTAGGTCTGAAATTAAAGCTTCTTGGAATAATTTAGGAACAGCTTGACCCGTTGAGATACTCAACGACAACCCTCCAGGGAAATAGTATGTTTCCTTCCTGGGAACAAGATGCTAGCGCAGTGCACCCGGAGGTATCCGGTGTCAACAATGCCAGAGCGCCCTCTGCTGTCTCAAAGAGGCAGAACAGAAGTTACAGAAGCCAGATGGCACAGAGTCGCAATAAGCGGAGGAAACATTAAGCTCTTAGAAACATTTAATCTGTGAAATTTAAAAGCTTTCATCATATCCTATTTTTGAAAGGGCCACCTGACTTTTATTTTGGGCATGCCTTGGACAATTTTTTCTTTTTTAGCGGGTAATGAAAAGTCAGAGTTTTGAAGTTTTCAGTCTGTCATTTCTGTAGTCATTTTTCTCCACCATTTCTTGAATTTTAATATAAATTGGTAAATCGGAGTGAAAAACCTTTATGTAAAACAGGTGAGTGAAGAAGACTTTCTGGTTTCTCCAGATAACGAAACTCTAATTAAAGATAAGGTCTTAATGGAAATAAAGATAGCAAGCACATTCTGCTAAGTTATTTTTAAAAGATAATTTAAAAAGAAATTAAGGTTCTTTGTAAATAATTGTTTTGTTTTGATGATTATCCCAAATTTAGCTCACGCTTTACGTTTTGAAATGAGACAGTAAATTGTATTTGAGGAAGAAGTTAAAGATATTGCTTCACACGAATATATACACTTATTTTGTCTAAAAACCTTTGTAATAAATTTATATCCATACTCAGCTTGCAAAGATTTCTGTAGAAAAGACCCTACTCTGAATAGAAATAATCATATGTGGTAGCAGTGTGGGAAAACCCATAAAAAGTGTTATTTGCTTTAAGAATGAGTTTTTTCTGTGTGGAACAATCTAGTCTCAAATGAAATGGAGGAGATTTCTTAAAAGGTTAACGCTCTTTTTAAATTTTATATATTATAGGGTTTATGTGGATTAAAATAAATGCACAGCTGTATTAATTCAACATTGTGGATTTCAAGTTTGCAACCTATTTCAAACACACACACATCTTTGCCATGAATATTGTTATTAAATATACCAGCGCTAATGTAATAAAATGTTTCTATTAATTATGTGGTTAAATAAATCTTATAAAAATAAAGCTCTGTTTATTTTATGGTGTCAGAATGAAATAGCTATCTAAAATCATTTACTTTAATCCCAGTTTTAAATGAAAATTCTTATGAGAATATTAAATGCTATAATTGAAAAAATATGTAATTTTACCATTTGCTGTAATGGAAAAAAAAAAACTGAGCCTCGATAAAATGTTAAAGCAAGTTAGATATTTAATCAAACATGTCAAATTTCATGTAACTATAGGTACATTTGTTTTCTGATAGATACTTCTTCAAAGCATACATTTCTAAATTTATAACAAAGTAAGTAAAAATAAAAGCTAGAACTTTTGTGGGGGTTTTTTTGGGGGGTGAGAAAGTAGGAATTTATTAAGAAGAAAGCTCCCAGCAGCGGGAGGGATCCTGAAGGATTGCCCCAAATGCTAGAACTTTTGTGTTTTTACTCGTGAATTATTTTAATAATTAAAGCTATTGTTTTTCTTTTTACTTGATTTGAATTTCTTCCTAAATAAATTCTGATTTTACCCAGGGGAAAATTAAACATAGTGACATAATTTTGATATATTCTTAATAGTTATAATAATTTTGA